TCTGTACCTATTGACTCAAAGTTGGCGACTTCTGCCCACTGTGCGCCTCAGCATGCGCTGACCCCGCTCTGTGATTTTACGTGGCCTATCACTTTGTAGCTGAGTTGCTGTTGTTCCCAATTGCTTCCACTTTGTTATAATAACACTAACAGTTAACTGTGGAATATTTAGTAGTGAGGAAATTTCACGAATGGACTTATTGCACAGGTGGCAACCTATCACGGTACCACCCTTGAATTCACTGAGCTCCTGAGAGCGACTTATTCTTTCACAAATGTTTGTAGAAGCAGTCTGCATGCCTAGGTGCTTGATTTTATACAACTGTGGCCATGGAAGTGATTGAAACACTTGAATTCAATGATTTGGAGGGGTGTCCCAATACTTTTGGCAATATAGTGTAGTTTGCCATGTTTTACATGATCTTATAATTTTTTTAGAGTGTAATGTCATGATTGGTATAGCATTCGATTTATTTATTTATATGAAATGTATAATGTCATGTTTGGTATTGCACATTTATTTATGTATATGAAATGTATAATGCCAGTATTGGTATTGCACATTTATTTACTTATATGAAATGTATAATGTCGTGTTTGTACTGCACTTTTATTTATGTATTTTTTCAATTTTTTTATGAAATGTATATTGCCATAATTGGTATTGCTCTTTTATTTATTCATTTATTTATAATGTCATAATTGATGTTGCACTTTATACATTTCATTAAAATAAATAAATAAATAATATCATTATTGGTATTGTATTTTTATTTTTTTAACTATAAAATGTAATTCCATATTTGGTATTGCACGTTTATTTATTTATTTACTTGTTTATGAAATGTATAATTTCATAATTACTATAGCATATTTTTTTATGAAATGTCTCAATTGGTAACAGCGAATTATATGTTTTTGTGTTTTTTTTATCTCAGCAAAAGAACCACCCACGATGCACCACCAGCTCCTGATGTTGCCACCATTTTTTCCAGAGCAACAGATGTTTGTAGCAGCTCTGCGGGAGTAATTATCCATCCCAGTCATCCTCTCTGTGTAGTACGTGCACGTGTGTGTTGAACTTTCTGTTATGCTTTGACTCAACAACGGTAGGATTTACCAGTAATTATCCAGAAACACACCCCTCTTGCCTCAGCCATTGTCTTGATGTCTCTGCAACATAGCTGTCATTAATCAAACGATTCAACGCAGGCCTGAACTGGTTAACCTGCACCGCCCAGCCCTGGTTACTGAGGAAGTTTTCAATTCCCTCTGGTCAATCACAAGGACACAAGAGTGCAACAATGGGATGGTTCTGAATGGATATTAAAATAAGATGCAACAATTCAGTGGAATCCAGCATGCAATTTTAACTTTTGGTAGGTCTGGACAAAGACTTAAATTCGCTGAGTAGGAAGGCTGGAATTGGAAATTAGACATCACATTAGCTTTAAAGCTGTCACTGAATCCTACACAAGCATAGCACATTGCTATTTTTTTACATCTGACCTAGAGCAAGAGGTCAGACAGTTCCGAAAGGGGCAGCCCATGTTGCATTTGTGTATGAATAGCTGTCTATTCAGTGACTCTTTTACAGTCTCTTGAATACAAGTGTTGGCTCCCTTCTGGACAGCCAGAATGCTGAGTGCTTGCACTTTTGGCAGGCTTGTTAGGCATCTGTGGTCTCCTTTTTTAGAAAGAGGACATTTATTTGTAGATGTCTTGAAAAAAGTGTTACCATTTTACTCACTCTTCAAATTTCAGAGTATACAAATTTATTAAAATCAAATCATTTTAAAGTAAAAATATTTGTAAAAAAAAAAAAAAAAAAATCTGTATTTGTATAGTTATTCAGTCCCCACATTTATAAAGCGTTTTTCAGCAATAACTGTATACTTGGGTCCTTTGTGCTATGAAACATTTCATTAATTTAGATGTGTTTCGGGTCCATTCACTCAGGTGTATATGCTTCAGGTTGCTCGGGTAAGCCAATTTTTAAATAGCACAGTTTCTGAATTGGTGGGGATCAGGGCAGAAACCTGCTCAATATTATGCTTTTTGAAAACTCCAGATGAGTTTTCACATGGAAAAAAAAAGGTGCTGCCTCAAATTTTTAAGTACAATCAACTTGGGTGTTTAAGTCATTTCAGCTTAAATTACATTAAACACTTAAAAATTAGTATACTTGTATAACTTGTTAAAAAAAGTTGAAAATTGTTTAACTTATTTTGATTTGATTTTTTGAGTTAAAGCAAAGAAAAAACATATGTTGTCATAACGTATTGATCATATAATTTGTACAGTGTGGTTCTGGCTTCCTTTGTGTCTTTAGTTCTTTGCACAGGGTGTTGAACATTTTTAGGGACCACTAGGCACCTAATTTACTACATGAATTTACTTATTGATATTATTGTGTACCTTTATTTGTAACAAATTATTTTCAATTGAATAATTCTAATTGATCTTCTTTTAAATGAACTTTAGTTTCATTTTCACAGCTGTCCCAACCCCAAAGATATATAGGCTAATGTGGTACTTACTGTATTTTATTGTTTGCAGAGGTTAATGCCTGTGTGCTCCCTGTCCTTTTTAACACAATGTTGCATTTAAAAAAGTTGTATTAATTGTATCACTTGTATAATATTTATAACCTATTGATTAATAATATTAGTATTTGATAACTAATTTGATTCAGTGCCTTAAAATAATAATAAATAAATCATTATTTGAAACATTTTATTATGCCATTTCATTTACTTTCATTTTATTTATATTGGAGAGAGTAGATTTCAGTCTGAAAAAATGAAACGATGTTAAAAACGTCATCTAACTATTTTAATTTCTGATTGAATGAAAAGCCGCTGACAGCAAGAATGTGCTGGGGATTCACACAATTGCAACTTTTTTTCATCAAATAGCACTTTTGAGCTGTTGGAGACAAATAAATGTAACACTGAATTACCATCACAGGTTACTTCAAAATATATGCCATTTATTTTTCTTTCCAGAAACGAAAGAAAATAAAGGCAGATCTTTTTATTATCTGTTCTGCTGTGTAAACTCTACCACTGTTAATGATTGACAAGTAGAAGCCTAATAATTGACCTTTATCTTCCTAATGAACTGAGATTAATTATAACCTCAAGGTCTTTTCTGGGAACTCACTGACAGTGCTGAGAGCATGAACAGACTTCCCATGAGAAAAACGGTTTGAAAAACAAATAGCTGATAATTAAATTGTTTAGACGACTTAAAACAGCAGTCTCCAGGTGTGAAAGCCATGACTTTGAGCTACTGAATAATATTGGCATGTTTCTCGTTTTTGAATCAATGATTTTTTTTCTTTCAAATTACGTAGCCTACTCCTTTCTTCCGTGTTGGCACGCTATACTGTCAGATCGTTATTGTCTCCAAACGTCTCAGCAGCTCAGTTGTTTCGACATTATAGTTAGGCTACTGGAAAAACAAGCAGCAAATTCCCGGCAAATAATGTCAGAACATCACAACTGCAGCATGAACGTTTGCGTGTCATGCTTGTCGATTTATTTGTGCATTAGTATATGTTTGCACCCGATAAGAAGAAATAGGGGTGAGCGGGTGGTCATGCAAACACACCGCATTACTAGTGTGTGTGAGAAAAGTAAGGCGGCATCGCACCTGCGAGCGCGCGGAGTGGAAAAGGTCAACGTGTTCGCCATTGTCCATTTGACAAGGTTAGTGTGAGTTAGCAATGTATTTGAACCTTTAAGTAGGCTATTTAGTAGGCCTACACCATTCAGGAAAAAACTTAAACTTAATTTCTGTAAGAGTGGAATTTATGTTTAATTCCTCCTCTGTGCACTATGAAGTCCTCTTCAATGCTCTAAATAAGCTACTTTAGTCAAGTAGCCTAGTAAAATTTGAATTACCATCTGAATGTGACATAACAAGAGCATAACCTATAGCCTATTGGGCTTTATCAGATAAACGACTGGCTATTCAGAACCAATATATTTCAGATTACAAGATTTGTGCACGTCATTTGACATTCATCTCTTTATAATTTGCATAAAAAAACACTAGGTTTCGATTCTATTCTTTCAAATGATTTTTTTTTAAAATGGCTATAAGCCTATTTGAAATATTTCTAACGTTGCCATTTTAATTAATAATTGGACTCTGTTATTACTGATATTCAATAAGGCTTACTTGCTAACATAAATCTTAAACATTTTGTTCCTCTAAGAATTTAATTATGCTACATGAGGAAAATCACGTTTAATAAAATAAAATTAAATTATTGTCATAACACGCCGTGTAAACCCAATCTTTATACAGTGAAATAAGAAACCAGTCGAAATCATATCGATAATGTTCGAATGAATAGCTATGTAAACTATTTGTGGGATATTTTGATTGCTGATGCTAGGCTGTAAAAATCCTTTTTCTGTAGGCTATACATTTGATTTCCCTAATCGCTTATTGTTGTTTTTTACGTTGCTGTTTTATTTATATTGTATATTGCCTAGCCGATTGCAAATATTTCGGTAGACACAAATTATTTTTATTAATCCAATTGTTGTGAACACATGTTTGTGGGGCCAATTTGTAATATTTCATATGTGTATCAATCGACCGATAAGTCGTAAGAGATGTGAATTGTATGGCTTGATGTTAAAATAAATTCCTGTGTAGTGAATTAATTAGAATGTATTGGAAGACTCTCAACTATAAGGGCATCCAAATTAACCAATCAGAGAGTGTTTAGGAGGAGCGTGCTAGAGCGCGAGACAGTCAAAAACTGATGCCTGCTCGCGCTCCAAGCAATAGCGTTGCGTCACGGGTATAGAGATGAAAACACTCAGTCATAGTAACAAAATATCCACAACTGTCTTAAAAAAATAGATAATATTATCGACGGACAAAGTAAAAGTTAATTGTAAATGCAGGCCTAGTGTGAAGGAAAAAAAAGGAACTCTTAAACTCATAACCATATTTTTAGCTCCTACCGTACTTTACACTTAAAGTTCGGCTCCATGGATAAGTCGAAGAACTTTCGAATAGACGCTCTGTTGTCAGAGAGCTCTCATCGGATAGTTTGCGAGGATTCCCCGGGACTGTGCAATGAAGACATTGACATCGAGCCCGCAACATGCAAACGGGCACAAAACTCTCCTACTCGCGCTTTTCAGCTTCAGACAGGGGTCATCCCCAAACCAGGCATGCTAAACATTTCTCACCCAGGATTTACGTCACTTTCTCAAGGGTCTATGCAAGGAATGTATCCCTCACCTATGTACTCCATCACGGCTTTTGGAGCGCAACATCCTACCTTCGCGTATTCTGGTTTTGCGCATCCGTACCCGGAGCACCTGAAAGCAGCAGCCGTGGCCGGTTCATTTCCGTTAGAACACTGGCTCCGGGCAGGACTCATAATGCCTCGCCTTGCAGACTACAGCGGTATGTGTGTCCCTTCTGCAGAATTCTTATTAGGATTACTTTCTAAATTGCCTATACTTTAAAAGTATTGTCGAGCCATTGAAAATGTCTAAATTATGCCTCTATAATGTAGCACTATAATGTAATTTTAAAGCATTTTTTTTTCAAGTTTGCTACAAGTTTTTTTTATTATTATTATTTTTTTTTTTAGTTTTCATAGTAAATAATATTACAAATACATTGATAAACCTTTATATATGCAAACATATATTCATGTTCTCTCTGCAAAAAGTGCACTCGCATGCCATAAATATTCTCTAGCATAATTGAATCAGTATTTACTGCTAACGGAACTATAATGTAAGCTTTTTTTTATTTTCAGTCTTTTCATAGCATCATAAATGACAACTCCAATAAAACAGCCTTCATCGAAACGAAAACTATAAAGAAACACTTAAAACAGCCTGAGCTTCATCAATAAAGTTATCTGGTAGCATTTATTGAATTTTCATTAAGTTAATGGTACTCTCTGGTGTTTTATTGTCCCGCTAAAGCAATATCTCCCAGCCCTGTCATCCACAATAAACTGAAGTAAAGCTGTTATCATTATCTATTAGGGGGGAGCAAGAGGTGAATATGTTGTTTGCTGCGTCTGCTTGGTGTCTTCACCGTATGTCTTTGTTTTTTTTTTTTGGCACAAGTCTTACACCTCTTTTATAAACAAACTCTCTTTTCAGGGGCACCTCAATCTGGTTTGATTGGAAAGTGCCGGAGACCACGCACAGCTTTCACCAGCCAGCAACTGCTAGAGCTGGAAAACCAGTTCAAACTCAACAAGTACCTATCACGACCCAAACGCTTCGAGGTGGCCACGTCTCTCATGCTGACTGAGACGCAGGTGAGAAGAAAGCAACACACTCACATGTCTATTCATAACAATTTTCTGTTTTAGTGAATTGATAGCTAATTTATATGAAATCGTACAATCTCAATTGTACGTTTTTGTACAATCTGCTTACGCCCCACTGCTGGTTAGGTTTAGGGGTAGACCTTCATATACTTTTTTTTCTAAAAAAATCATACATTTCATACAAATCACATTGTACGGATTCATATGAAATCGGTAATTCGTAAAATAGTTGTCTAATGAAATTGGATTGGGAGAAATAAGGGATCTGTGGCCACGTCTCTCATGTTGACTGATACACAAGTGAGGAGAAAGCAACACACTCTCACACTGAAAAGTTGCTGCCTTAAATTTTCAAGTACAATCAACTTGGATGTTTAAGTAATTTCAAATTTAATTACATTGAACTGACTTTAAAATTGTTGAATCATGTGTAATTGCTTAACTTATTTTGTTGAGTTAAAGCAATGTAAAAACATATGTTGTCATAACTTATTGATCATATCATTTTTTTTATAGTGCATGGCAATTCAGAACTATTTTATGTTTTAACGAAATGGTAGCAAATTTGTATGAATTTGAATATGTTTCGTACAACATGCCCGGTTAGGTTTAAGGGCTGGACCTTCATGCTTTTAAAAAAAAAAGAAAAACATGCATTTCCATACAAATCACACTGTACGAATCACCACCTTGTAAAATAGTTACACTTTCTCGTGAAATCAGGTTGTAAGAAAGAAGGGATAAGGTGAAAAAACATATTGCGAAGAAAGAAACAACTAAATAATTTTGATAATCATTCCAATAAAAAGCTCTTGAATATTCCCAAAAGCTAATACCAATGGATCAACTTTTATGCAAACGATTTTGATGTTTGTTATGTATTTTCCAGGTGAAGATTTGGTTCCAGAACCGACGGATGAAGTGGAAGCGCAGCCGTAAAGCTAAAGAGCAGGCTGCGCAGCAGGAAACAGATGGCTGTAAGTCAGGAAAACGAGGAAACAAGCCCAAAGACCTCAGTGGCTGCAGTGCACACGATGACGATGAGGATCTGGATGCAGAGGAGGAAGATGAAGAAGAAGAGGAAGAGTTCAGAAAATCCATTAACGTCGGTGTAAGCCTACCTCACCCTTCGGACTTCCTGCAGCACAGCTCCGCGCTGAGCTACAGCTCTCATGGCTCTTACTCTGATGACGACCTGGATGAGATCGGAGGAGACCGAAAGATCAGGCTTGGGTTATGAGGGATTAATGGCAGCTGTATAGTTGCATGTCCATTCATGAATTGGACTGCTAACTACATCAAGGTTTAAAATACAACACCTCAAGACTGAAAGTTAAGTTCATTGACGTTTATAGTCGAAAAGTCTTAAATAATTCATGAAAATGGTCTTCCAGTTTATTTGCACTTAATATTTTTTCTTGAAGGCTCCTTGTAAACTGCAACTGTACACTATTTCAAACTAACTTGTTTTTCTTATGCGATCAAACTCTTTACTATGTATGTTAATATGGACATTTTGGTTGAAAAAAAAAAAAACAAAAAAAAACAAAGCAGCTGTTGAACCAAATGAGGAGGCCTTTCCACTGAAAGTCACAGGCTGACTTGGTCTCTTAAACACATTTCGTTCGAGTGGATGCTGAGGAACAGAAGATTGTCCAGAGGTCATCAGTGTCAGCTTTCTTCCAGTAACCATTGACTAAGAAACACAGAGGAACTGCTAAATCCTCAGCAAATATTGAACAAGGGCAAACTGTGAACGGTTCATTAGTTAGTCCATTAGTTTATGTCATGTTGTTGCTGTTGGTGTCTTTAATGTTATTTAACTGTTATAGATTATATATCTAATTTATTCAACGTGATATCAGGACTCCGTTTGAAGGATTGTGTGACCTTCAAAGATTGCTGGTAAAATATGTACTTGGAGACAAAGGGAAATAAACAAAATTGAAGATGAGTTTCAGGCATTCTCTCACTTGCTGTCATTGAACCCATTTTGTTCTTTGAGGATGTGAAAATGCTGGAGTGCATACAAAAATAAATGTATAGGCTATCTTTATGCATCTGGCACATGAGCAAAAGGTTTAAAACTAAATGAATATTACCCGCATCCTATATTCATCGTCCCACTCTCCTCTCCCTTTTAACCTCTAGCTGACAGAGATGGTGATTAAAGCGCAGATGAATCTACAGTGCATTATAAACAACGAGGGCCCTGATATTTATGGCCACAGCCTCTCAAATATGAATTACTCAGGGGGGTTTACTGATAGGCAAATAATTAAGTTAATGAAGGAAAAGTAAAATAATCTACTCCTTATGCTGATGTCACCGGGCCATTTAATTTAAAAAGATGAATTACCTCAATGACCAAAAGAGCATTTTTACAGGGGTGTGGTGTTAGGCCAACAATTAAATATTAAAGCAGAGAAGGTGCAGTCAAGCTAGAATTGGACATATTTATATGTTGATTAAATGCATTGCAGTGACGGGAATAAATACCCTGCAAAACCAAAGGAAACTCGAGCACTCAAAGTGGCAAACTGTGAACATTTATCACGCATTTGGAAAATTGCACCTGCATTTCGATCTCACCTGAGGCTACTGTTGAAGTTTGAGAGAAAAAAAACGTCTCGCTGTATGTAAATGTCCCTTAGCTGTTTCCGTCGGCGTTGTCATGGAGCTCGAACACAACTGAACTGGGAGTAAAACTTTCAGCATGGCGAAACAAATAAATCGACACATTTCTATTCAGTTTTGGCGTCTTGTTTGAGATATAACTGCTTAAAATAAATCTACTGTGGTAAGTTATATTTTAGTAGGCTACAAAATGTAAAATAACGCGAGTTTTGCTATCGTATTAGTAGAAGGAACAAACGTACTAATAACGTGTGACTGTACTCGTAACATTAATAGTAATACTCGTAATAATATAAGTTGTTTTTATTGTTTAGCAATCGATTTTATGATTGATTTTAACAGAATTATAGAATTTATGCAATTTTAACGCCTTGTCGAGTTTTAAGTAATTTTATAAATCTAAAACAGAAAACCCACTGTATCTTTATCAATAATAACAATAATAATATCCTCTGAGTCAGTCACCTTTGCTGTCTCTGATTTTTATAAAGCAAATCACTTAAGCTAATAGAGAGGTAAAGAATTGAGTGACAGGGTCACATTTACACCAGCCTCGGTTAACCTCAGAGTCAGACAGGCATATAACAGATCCTGCTTTTGCAATAAATGTAAATCTATCACTTTAGCATGCAGCTGTTTAGAGTAATACAGATATTGCATAATGCAGTATGGACTTTATATGTTCATAATATCACTCAAGAAATTAAGGTTAATCTCTCTGATAAAGTCCCAAATCCTCCAAGTACTACAGCCATGTCTGATTAATCTAATTTGATACAAAAGCTGTGTGAAATAGTTTAATCCCCCGAATACAGCACCATTGACCTCTGTTGGTTTGTTTTAGTTGCAATGTTGACGGATAATCCAGTGAATCCTCTGAACTCAGGCATTCCCTTTGGAGGTGCACACAACCCACATAGAAAGGTAAGATGTGTTTTGAAAGTCAAAAAAGTCCACTTTATTTGTGCAGAAAAAAAGATGTCACACTCTATAGTTTAGCAGGTTGTCACACAGTTTACAATGGAACCTTTTAGACTGTGTGAAACAATTATAATTTAACACAACACATACGCATAAAACCATTGTAATTTTCCACAATAAAAATTACCTTTACAACTTGACAGCTAGCTCCTATTTCTTATTCATTCCATCCTCAGTTCTTATTTTTTGTTCATTATTACTCTTTTATGTCAACTATTTCATTTCTTCTGCTATTGTTTGCCACTGGTTTTAATAAGTTGAATGATTTTGCATTTGCTTTTTGCTATCAGTCTACTTTGCTGAAATACAATGCCCTCTGCCGGTGTAAAAATACAATAGACATTATGATGTGCCTACTTTGTTTTCAGAGGGTCTCAAGCCTCAGGTCAGGGGGCCTTCAGAAGAGAACCCAAAACTGCTTCTTTGGGGTGGAGACCTGTGCTGAGCTGGTCTGGGGAGACTGGGAGCCAGGGCTAGAATATACCAAATCTCTGTTCCTTAGAAGCGTACATGGAAAACTCCAGAAACTCACCGTCAGGTCAGTCCACTTAAAATATTAGCCTAACTCAAACAAGCATTCAAGGCTAAGTGTACTAGCAAGTACGCTACCTTAATTAGTTTGGGGTAATTTTACTTTTTAGTTTAAAGCTTGCATTTAATATTGTAAAATGTTATTTCACTTTAAAATAACTGTTTTTTATTTGAATATACAGTACCGGTCAAAAGTTTGGAAACATTAGTATTTTTAATCTTTTTGAAATAAGTCTCTTATGCTCTAGCCTGCATTTATTTGATCAAAAAAAAAAAAAACGGTAATGTGAATTTCTTTTACAATATAAATAATGGTTTTCTATTTTAATGTACTTCAAAAAATAATTTATTTCTGTGATTTTTCAGCCTCATTACTCCAGTCTTCAGTGTCACATGATCGATCCTTCAGAAATCATTCTAATATGCTTATTTTATACTCAGTTATTGTCAATGTTGAAAACTGTTGTGCTTCTTAATATTTTTTTGGGAACCTGTGATAGTTTTTTCAGGATTCATTGATGAATAAAATGTTAAAAAGAACAGTATTTATTCCAAATAGAAATCTTTTCTAATATAAATCTTTACTATCAACATCATTTAACACATCCTTGTGAATAAAAGTATTAATTTCTTTAAAAAAAGAAAAGAAACGGCACCTTTGAACGGCAGTGTATATTTTTACACAAGCTTTCTATTTTAAATAAATGCTGTTCTTTTTTTTAAACTTTTAATTCATCAAAGAATCCTGAAAAAAGTATCACAGGTAATACAAAAATATTAAGCAGCTCAACTGTTTCCAACATTATTAATAAATCAGCATATTAGAATTATTTCTGATGGATCATGTGACAATGAAGCCTGAAGTAATGGCTGATGAAAATTCAGCTTTCCATCACATACATTATATTTTAAAACATATTCAAATAGAAAAAGTATTTAAAATTGTAATAATATTTTACAATATTACATTTTTTTCTGTATTTTTGATCAAATGCATGTAGGCTTGAAGAGCATAAGAGACTTCTTTCAAAAACATTAAAAATAGTAATTTTAAACTTTTTACTGTATTTTAAAATACAATTTATTCATGTTATGCAAAGCTGAATTTTCAGCATCATTACTCCAGTCTTCAGTGTCACATGATCCTTCAGAAATCATTCTAATATGATGATTTGATACTCAAGAAACATTTCTTATTATTATCAATGTTGAAAACAGTTGTGCTGCTTAATATTGTTGTGGGAACCGTATTACATTTTTGTACAGGATTCTTTGATGAATAGTAAGTTCAAATCAACAGCTTTTATTAGAAACAGGCAGTGCTGGACGAAGTACACATACCATGTACTTGAGTAAAAGTAAAGATACTCAAGGTAAAATATTACTCAAGTAAAAGTAGAAGTGCTGCCTTTAAACATTCACTTGAGTAAAAGTACAAAAGTATTTGCCTTCAAATGTACTTAAGTATCCAAGTACTTTGATTTTTTTACGGCTATAATGTCCTATTATAATTTGTCACAAGACTCTTGCTTAATTCAGTCTAAGTGAAGACTAATGTCACTCTAAAAAACTGAAAAACTATTAAAACTGCATTTCGTGACACAATAACAGTAGTATTTTTAAATTTAACCTCTGAACGTTACTATTACTAATTAAATCATGACCAAATACAACCAAAAACAAACGTTCAGTCTTGCTTGTGAAAGGTAATTCCTCGAAAGCTGTTTTCAATTGTGTGGCGATTTGTACAGCCCCAAGCAGCGCACAAAACAGGCATTTTCTCAATTCCCGGTATGAGAGGTATGGGAAAGTTGCCATCCCCAACATGGCGGCGCCGTTGACGTACGCTGCAGCGGCCAATAGGGCGTCTATGTATTTATTATGTGTATGGTCACAACCATCTATGTTCGCAAATCTCATATTTAACGGCTCTGGTTCGCGCTTAGTAGATACCGCCAAGGCAAGTTCAAAACAAAGCGTGCGCGCTGTACTGTGATTGGTGGCTCGTTTGACCAGTTACGTTTTTATCCACTCATAAATAAAAAGGAACGACTGATTTTGAAAATGTAGTAGAGTAAAAAGTAAGATATTTGACTTTGAAAAGTAGTGGAGTTAAAGTAAAAGTCTCCCAAAATTTAAATACTTGAGTAAAGTACAGATACGCAAAAAAGCTACTTAAG